GGACAGAGAGGCAGCAGATACTTGCAGCTGGCCCAGGTTCTGTGTAGCTGCTGACAGCCACAGAGCCTAGGCTGGGGGGGCAGGGGCTTTGGGTGAGGGGCAAGGGGTAGCAGGGCTGGGGGGCAAGGACTTTGGGTGGGAGGCAAAAGTCATGAGCAGGCCTGGGGAAAGAGGGCTGCCTGCTTGACGGGCTGCCAGCAATATGGCTGCTGCCCACACCCCTCACCAGTGATTGGCAGCAAGGGTTGCCTGTCATGTGACCCTACCCCTCTCCACCAATCAGCTGCAAGGGATGGGGCTGCATGGTGGACAGCCAATCAGTAGCAGTGGGTGGGGACACATGCTAGGCAGCCTCTGCAGCCAATCAGTGGTGAGGGGTGGGGCTGCTGGGTCCCCGTGGCCAATCACAGGTGGGGGGAGGAGGGGTCAGCCATACTCTACCCACAAAACAGCTACCCGGGCCTACATTCTGTCTGCAAAACCAGGGGGGCAACCTCTGTGAATTAGTTAGGGTCCTATTCAAAATTTATAATTGTGATATCATAAATATGTGGCTTATCACACTGGGGCTTTGAAATTTAGAAGCCAGAACTGATCTTATTGAATCCAATGGAGGTTTGCTTTTTACTCCAGTAGAAGCAAGTTATGGCCAACAGCATGCAATGTATTTGTATATCTTGCAGCTTTTGGAAGTGTCAATATTTGTACTTACTATCTAAAAATCACAGTAATATTTAAACCTCACCTTCTACTAAAAATAGTCATGCTTCTTTCGATGAGAATGATGCCAGTTCCCATCTGTGTCTCTGTTCTCCTAGCCTTGCTTTGCATCCTCGGAAAGACGTCATAGTTACTGCAAGTGATGACCGCCTCTGGAAGATGTGGGCCTTCCCTAATGGGAACATCATTATGACAGGTGAAGGTCACACTGATTGGCTTTCTGGTTGCTGCTTTCATCCAAGGTTAGTGTAAACAGTACCCTGAACCAGCCCTAATCCTTTCTGGCAAAGTACTTGTTTGCTCTTTCTTCCCTTGCTGGCCTGCTTTGATGATTTTCTATTCTCAGTACAACCCTATGCTCCCTGCTGAATTTCCAAACATGTAGATAAATGTACCTTTGGCTTTCACAGTGTTGACTTAAGATTGATTGCTTTTGGTATTTTGTACATCTCAAACTTTGTCCACATGCCAAAACATCTAACAAGGTGTAATAAGCTTTTCAGGTCTAGTTGTGTTTATTCTGTTTGTGGTCATGCACCATAGAATGCCTTGCATGAATTTTTAGTGACACAGAGCAGTTTATTTGCCTCTTAATAATTCGTTGTGGGTTTTATTTAAAATATTCCAGTTGAGTTAAGGAGCAACATTGTGAGCTTCCCACTTGCCCTTCATCAAAAGTCAAATCATGACTTGGCAAACAAAAGTGGATGTTCAGAACAGGAAATAATCATATATACGTTACTGAAATAGTCTGATGATTAATTGGATTTGGTGGACATCCCATTGAGAAGTATAATTATTTTACTCTGAGAAAGTAGGTTTTTTATCTGGTAGGATTAGAGCTATGTGCATTAAAAAGATTTTGCATCAGATTTATGGGTTTTCAGTTGTAGTAGGACTCTGTTTTTAACATAGGCAAAACCTATTTGAGTCCTCAGCCTAAGTTTCATCTTTAAAAAGACCTATTTAGACCCCTGATATTGCATTTAATTAATTAATTGCAACATATCATCTATACTGTCTTTGGGGGAGAGGAAGAAGGAGAGTCAAATTAATTCCAAGGCATTTACTGGCTTAACATATCATCCTTCATCATTCTGTCTAATACACCTACACCAACATCGACACAACTGTAGGCCTAAGTGAAGAAATGTGTTTCATTTGGGGTGGAATTTTACTATAGGTAGATGTTTACCAGTGTTTTTCTGGATTGATGTGAAACTGATTACAATGGCAAGTGGAATCCTAGATCTGCCTTTGTTTAAGCACCCAGAGCTTCCATTCATTATTTTTTTTTATCCTTGGAATTTGGAGTCTATGAGGAGTACAGAATTGGAACCTAAATATGGTGTCAGTACTTCAGAACACCTACATTTACAGTTTCATAGTTTCTAGGGTTGGAAGGGACCTGAGCAGATCATCTAGTCCGACCCCCTGCCATGGCAGGAAAGAGTACTGGGGTCAAACAACCCCAGCAAGGTGTTCATCTAACCTCCTCTTAAAAACCCCCAGGAAAGGAGCCTGCACCACTTCTCTTGGAAGTTGGTTCCAGACCCTAGCCGCCCTGACCGTGAAGTAGCGCCTCCTGTTATCTAACCTAAACCTCCCCTCTGCCAGCTTGTGACTGTTATTCCTGGTCCAGTTATATCCTTAGAAACAATATTCTGTGTTGCAAGACACCCCTGAAACTTATGCAGATTTAAAGAAATTAAAAACACAGTAAAATATGTGTAAAAAGAGAAATGGGAAGTTTCCATTTTCTTTAAGGGAGCAGAAATATTTTTTCATTGATTGATAGCTTGTGTTGTAGAATTGGTGAGCACACAGGACATTGATATCTGATTTATAGATAAGGAAAATGATGGCATCCTCTCACCTCTTACAAACATAAAACTCTTCACTGAGAAAAGAGAGCATAATTAGAAGAACATGCTATCATTTATAAAGCCTCTGGGCATACTAATCAGATTTCAATAATGCATTGTTACCATGACACCCAGTGACTCAGACTCAGAAAAGAATCCTCATTAGTCTTTGACCAGCATACAGTCTTTTCAATAGACTTTCCTGTTTCTCATTCAATTACTGAAATTTAAAATGAGGTGAGGCACATAACTATTTACATGCAATATGAATTTTCTCTTCTTGAATACTTACAGAAATATGAAAAAATTATAATATTTTCCTGATAATTCAAGGCAACTATAAATGGGCAAATGGATGGGCAAATATAATATAAGGGACAGAATACATTTAATCATAGTATTCATTTTTCAGTTCGGAATGTCTACACATCAGTTGTTACAGAAGGGACATAACCAAGCTAAAATGGAAAATTTGTACCATTTGTCAGAATTAAGATGTAGAAAGCCACTAATTTATTAACCCAAGGGTTGAAAGGAGGATATTTTTGTGGCTATACTACTGCCCAATGATGAAAGAAGCTGAGTTCAGTACCCAGATCTTCCACATATATTGTACAGGGAGTAGAAATATATGACCTTTTCCTATCTGTAAAACAAACATAATAATAGACTCTTTCTCCCACCCTTTTGGTATATATTCAGATTGTTAAAATTGTATTGTAATATTTTTAGGTCTGACGGAAGGCAGATGTTTTCTGATTTGTTGTGTACCTAGCACTCCTCTTCCATGAATTCCAAGCTTGATGTTACATAGAGGCTTGTGTGCTATCAATGACCCCAAGAGGCCCTGCACTCCAGTTTTATACTCTTGGTAGGGTTACCCATGGGGCCAAGGTCAAGAGCTCTCTCATCAACTACAAATTACTCTTCTGAAAATCTGGAAACATGAACAGATTCCTAGTGACCTAAGAGATGCCACAATCATTACTATCTTCAAGAAAGAAGATAGATTGCAGCAATTATCCTGGTTATTGTGGTATTGTGCTCCTGTCCATAGCTGGGAATATCCTCACCCACTTTTTCCTCAACAGATTTGCCTTCCTCATGAGAGGTACTCACTTGCCTTCCTCACTCAGAGGTATAATAGGTATGACTTTTGTTGCTAGCCAGCTGCAAGCAAAGTGCCACAAGCAACAGCAAGATCTTTACATGGACTTCATTGACCTGACTATGGTCTTTGATTTATTCAACAGAGACCCCATATAGAAGGTGCTTATGAGATTTGGATACCTCTTAAAATTTGTTATCATCATCAGACTCCTTCATGATGATATGACAACAGCTGAACTAAGCAATGGCTTGAAAATGCTCCCTTATTAAAATTGGAGTCAAGGAAAGAGTATGATTGCACCAACACTCTTTTCCATCTATGTCTCAGCTATTTTGCATCTCTCTGCTGATTGGCTTCCATCTAGAGTCAGCATCCAATATTGCATGGATGGGAATATCAGTCAGTTACGTTCCAAATCCAAGACAACCAGCACCTCCACTGTTGATTTTCAATATGCTGACGATTGTGTTGTGTATACCCATTCAATTGAAGAGTTCCAGGTCACTCTTAGTTACTTCTGTGAAGTATATAAAGTGCTTGCATTCACTATCAACTTCACAAAAACAAAAACACTTTACCAATCCACCCTAACCCAGGCAGCTGCTCCTCTGCATATTACAACTAGAGGGCCACTTTCAGTCATTGCCATCAGCAATGTCTTCAGAATATCCTCCACATGAATTGGAAGGGAAAAAAAATTAACACTAATATTCTAGCTCAAACAAACATCACCAGCACTGAAACCATGTTTATGCGGCACCAGCTTTTTTGGACACGGCATGTCACAAGGTTGCCTGACAGCTGACTACTGAAACAGGTCATATACTCCTAACTCCCCAATAGTCAACACTGAAGAGGTGGTCAAAAGAAGACAGTCAATGACATCTTGAAGGCCAGTCTGAAAAAATGTGATATTTATATCAATATTTGGGAGACTTGAGCATTGAATCACTCCCCATGGTATCGTATGGCAAGATATCAATCATTTTGAGCAAACTTGCCTCACTGTGGAGGCAGATAGACTAGAGAGACATAGAAAAAGAGCTGTGATTCTGTATTACCAAAACTTACTCCTTCCTCTTGGAACTGTTTGCCATGTCTGTAGTTAAACATGCCGGTCTTGGACTGGCCTCTTCAGCCATCTCTGGATTCCCCAATGCCTACCTAATTAAAGGAAGACTGTCCTCCTTGCATCAAGGAACTGCTGATGCACCTAGCACAGACAGGTCCCAGCCCAGCTCCTACAACTGTAAGATAGATAATAAGGTGTCTTCAGAACTTATTAAAATCACAGTTCTCCTACATTTTATGGGCTTGTTTTCCTAATTGTTGGCCACTTGATATAACTTGGGCTTCATTTTTAGACTACAATTTTGCTACAAATAGAAAGAAAGTCTAGAATTTCATTGTGACTTTTAAAAAACTCATGACAAGATCAGTTTCAACTACAACTCTATTTAGCATCTAAGTATGACCTTAAAAATGGTGAAAAACTAATCAATGGGATTGAAATTAATAAAACACTTTCTTTATAGTCACTTTAAAATCCAAGTCTACATCAGAATACTATGGGACAAATATTACATGGCTTAAGCATAATTAATAACCATACTTCTAACTTTCTACTTTAATTTAATATTTTATGGCAGAAGAAAAGAATAGTTTGTTTTTGCTTCCCTTTAGAAATCTTGAAAACCTTTACATTTACAGCTTATAAACCAAGAACAGAATCTCTTCTGATATTTAAATTGTTTTTATAAAGAAACCACCTGTAATTTATACAATACCATAATTACATTGACTACAAGATGACCTGAATTTAAGATGACTATCCTCCAATAATTGGATTCTATACACATACAATTTATACATGTATTATAAAGTTCTATATATAGAATCTAATTATTGGAGGATCATCTTAAATTCACCACCCCCCACCCACTATGACAGGCAGTGGGGGGAGAGGCAATGAGGGGGCAGTAATGGGGCAGGTAGTAGGTGGACAGACAGTGGAGAGATGGTAATGGGTTAGTCACTGAGGGCACAGACAATGAGGGATGCACTGGGCAACGTGGTATAGCTAGCAGTGAGGGAGCAGTAATGGGGCAGACAGTGGGGGGCCAGTGGTAAACCCATAAGGAGACAGGCAGTGGAGGGAGCAGTGCAGGAGAGGCAGTGTGGGTCATGTGTTAGGGGGCAGGCAGTGGGGGAGGCACTCAGCTTGCCCCTGAAACCTGTCCCCCTCACCACGTATACCTGCCCCCCA